CGAGGGCAGGCCCGAATATTCATGAGCCCTCACGGCCCGGACAGCGGCTCCGCACCTGCCCCCGGCTGTCACCCACCGGGCTGGGCACGGCCAGCCGGCTGCCAGGACACAGCCGGGGGCAGGGAAGGACACGGGACGGAGGGGAAGAAAATGAGGCACTGGTGAAGGATGCGAAGGGCACCGGGAAAGGGAGAAGCAAAGGCGGTGGCTGCAAGAAAGGAAAGGAGAATAAAAGATCAAGCAACAGTTCGGTAAAGTTGGAGGGAAACAGAAGACCTTGGAAACGCAAGGTGGGGAGAGAACACGAAATGTTTTGGTTTTAGGAGGAAGATAAATTGCAAAGGTTTTGTTAAGGGCGAGGAATGGATGGGGCACAGAGAGTGCCCCGGCAGGCCCGGAGGATGCACAGAGGCCAAGGACAGGCCTGGGGCCTCACAGATGATGCCCTGGTGCAACTCGGTACCAGGACTGCTGACAGCTGAGATATTCTAGCAGGAAAGCACCGACAAACGCCAGGACACTCACATTATCACATTAACATCACACGTTACACTGGCCACAAGGAATTCGCTCTATATAAGCTGTGAGAGCCAGGAGGAATTATTGCAGGTAGCTTGAACCCTTCCAAGTTCCCTCCCTGCTTCAAATGCTCCATCGTCTGTGCTCTGTCCCATAAATTGCTCAGCAAAGCCACCTGACTCTGGAAAAGCCAGTACTTCCTAGAGAATCACCGCTCCAAGGGGTTGATGTTGATCACTGGGCTGTGGGAGCGTTGTCATTGTGACAGAAACATTGGGATGCTCCCCTGAAATGTTCCCTGATCTCATCGTGCCCGACAGCAGCCCCTTGGGCCATCCCACACTGTAACTTCAGCACCACAGCCAACACAGGCCTTGAACAAAATCATTTGGCTTCAGGTCTCCACTCCTTTCCATTATTTTTCCCTGCATGTGGTGCTGGAAGCATGAATCATCGAGCAAATTGCATGGAGTAGATGGAATGCAGGATTCCCTCTTCCTTCTGCCCACACACACACACACAAAAAAAAATGGGAGGGGATACAGAGACAAGAACCCAAGTCCTTTTCCAAACCAAAGATGTAATGCTTCATCTGTTAAGGAAGACAGATGGAAATACACATTTACTGTTATATTGCATTCAGACAAAAAAAAAAAAAAAGCTAATTAAAACTGTTGGGACAAACTTGTAAAGTTCTTTTTGGCTGCTTGACAAATTAGTTATGGAATCTGCTTTCCTGTAATCTCTCTTGTGAGCTTGAGTAGAATAGTGTATAGAAAAGCCAGGGAAAATCAGAAATAACTTTGAATACCAGAAAACTACACAGAAGAATCAAATTTTTGCCAGCATTCACTTCTTTTAAAAACTTTAAAATCTATAGGACTGTAACTTGTTAATTTATAAATAAATGAATTAATAAAAATAGTGGCAAGCAGCATAAGATTTTTTTTTAACACAACATCCCACTTTTTGAAAGGCGAGAAATGTGACCTGTGGACTAACACTCTAAAACACACATAAATATAAATAAATTTATATAAATATATATAAACACGGCATCATCGTTCAGAGGAGGGTATTTTCATACAGGGAACCAGCAAGTCTTTGAGGGAGCTAAAATTGGAAAATACTGCATTTTTAGTATGAACCTGTTATAACAATCCCAAAGACAACTGATTTGGTGGTGGGATGTAGAGAGCAGGTTTGCAAGGCAGATGCTCTATAGGAAGAAGCATCTCCTCAGCCAACTTACAGTATAAACAAATAAGCCAGAAACAAAAAATGAAAAGGGATAAATGCTGCTCCATTCCTTGGGCAAAGAGCTAAAGCACAAAAGATGAAGAAGCTTCACCAATAGATAACATTACAGTGGTGTCAGAGTCAAAACCTAATTTCAGCTCTGGTACCTTAATCAAAAACTCTCTGCCTTTTTACCCAACTGTGTTTGTTTATGGATGTGACAGCCTGGGTGTTCTGCAGTCTTCTGCTGGTGGCTCATACAGGTGATGGATGTAGATGGATAGAAAGGTTTACAAACAGTAATGATGACATGGCACTGTGCTGGAATTTATAATAGATAATTGCCATTACCTCTTCTATTTAATGCT